TATTGCCCGTCACACTTCATGTGGGTCACCCTGTATAAAGAAAAACGCATTATGTTAAGCATCAACGGGCTTGAATCTCAGGGGCGTGACAAGAATCCGTTCGTGATAGAGCGTGTTTGAACATACTACATAACTGGCCAAACTGACAAACGAGCTTCTCAACTTGCACTTTGTTTTTTTGACTAAAGCAAAGCCTTTTCGCGTGAGCCTTTCCAAGGGATATGGATGAATGTGATCGTTTTTTTTTCATGAAAAGGGCATTCCTATTTCACTTTGCAATTGTCTCTAATTAACTACCTCCCATCTTTCCAATCGGCTTTAATTGGGAGTATACCAAGTATACATTTCACTAAGGGTAACTGGTGTATTTGAAGAATTGCTAAAAGAGAACATATCTTTTGTTTCAGGTTGGGTTTGCACATACGGATGAGTTACCAAAAAGAGGTGAATGGTCTGGAAATGTCTGTATGAATCTGCTGTCTAATGTGTTGACATCGGTTGGTCGAGTTTTTTTCAAAATAAGTCTCCTTACGCAAACTATAAAGCAATGAAGTTATAATGTACAGTATATGAATGACTGTATATTACAACTTGATTTGGAGTCTTTCGTGAAAACTACTGGCTCTTTTTTGGTTTTCTTATTCTGAGAAGCTCTTATTTATCAAAATACTTCTTTAAAAGCTGGATACCAGCTTTAAAAATATTCTGACAGTCCCTTGGAAGTCTTTCTATGTGCTTGCTCGAAACAAAGGAGAAACTAATCTCGGAAGATTCTTAGAAGGATGGGATCTAAAGGGTGGACCTAATGTGTTTCTGTTTTCTTTTTTTCAAGACAGCTCTTTCATGATATCCCTACAGTATTAGGCTAATTTATAAAAGCACTGAAAGTTTCTTCCCAATGATGTCTACCATTTAAGCTTCGTGATTTACTGGAAGTAGATGGCGAAGCGTGTCTGGTCCGTTATGAACAGAATCGCGACGAAATTACGATTCATTCCGTGCCTCTTCCTGACATCGACTTCTTCACGTATGCCTTTCGAGTCCATTTCAATTTGGAATAGGCAGCAATAGTGCTGGCTTTTTTATTTATTTCTGTTTGATTGTATTATTATTTATTTATTCTCAGTATATTCGATCTCTCTCGTGGTTTTTATGTAATGTGTTGAAACTCAGGCCGTTCGGGCCTTTCAGGCATCCCACGTTTTTGGTATGTATGTTACTATAAGTCATACATTTCCAGTAATGGCATACCTGAAATAGTTCGTGGACACAGATGAAAAGCTAGTTTGAACTGAATTATCTATAAAGGTGGATAGAGTACCCACTTACACTCGAATGTGGGAGACGGGCACTAGGAACGGTTTTGGGTAATCGATCCGCCGCACGCGGCCGTCGCGGACCGTTTGCCTCGTCACAACACTTCCACCGTTTCTCACATAGCTCAATCAATATGCGATTATTACTTATGGCATGATTCTACCGTTAGTTCTTTTGTTCCTGCATTTCTTACTTGCTGCTGTATTCTACTACAGTCCTTCGCGCGGCGTTTTCTCGCCGCGACGCGAAAGTTCTGTTTCTTCTGCACCACACCCCTCAAAAGTGGAGGAATTGATGCGGGGCGGTGCCTAAATGGACTGAGTCATGCCCGTGCCCTCGACACCTTGAGATTTTAGGTGGAACTCTCAGCAAATCCCCACCTTCCGATGAACTCACTGCTTCAAGGCTCCAATGTCTTTTGATCCGTACTGGAACCTTGGCGGTTGGTGTTGTTAGGTCAGGGCAGGAATTGACGTCGCTCGTTTCGGAGATGTGTGGGTATGTTTACGCAGAAGAACGAGTCATTGGAGAGGGTAGCACGTGTCGTGGGCGAATTCGCACCCTGACTCAACAGTGCTCACCCGGTTGTTATCTAAACTGCTCAACGTAATCTATTATTCATTCAGCTACTTCACTAACTAGTACCGTGATGTTTCGTTCGAGATACACCCTTAGGGTCGGTCAGCCGGGGAAAGAACTCTTTAGCCGTGAAAAGCCCTTCATTTACCACAGGATAAAGGTAAAAATCCGTCCCACTAGTCGAGACTACCGCGCACGCGGTAACCGGCGTCGCCCAGGGGTGGCCTAACCTGACTTTCACCCCAGGTTTAATGTCAGCATCACCCTTTTCCCTTCATCAATTTCGGACTGGAAAAGCCAAGCCTCCCGGGCTTCTGCTTCTTGTTTTTGGGGAGGCTGGGAAAAACTCTGTCATCTAACTGCCGAAGGTTTGGAAATGCTATGGGCAAATGTACGCCATTGAAAGAGTTCGAACTTATGCCCATACTTCCTTTGAAGTTGAGCCAGTTCTGAAGCCTTTCCTACTTTTTTTTTCGTTTTGCACATTGGTTCCTTTCGTTTTACTCTTTTTCGAATTCTACGGCAAATTGCATTTTTTGTTAGTTGCCAAAAACTACATATTCTCGCTTCGATCTGTTTTGAAATTCTTTTTTATGACCTGTTGTCTACCTATACCCTTCGTTGACCTTGCTCTAAAACCGGTTATTGAATGTCCTATTTCAGTTTTCAGTTTCCCGATGAAAGAGGTGGTCGTTAGGTCAGTAAGGGTGCTATGCAAACTTGTTTTTCACAGTATTATCTTCCATAACTATCTACTATTCCTTCCCTTCAGCTTTCGTGCGTGAGGCCCCTTTTCGATGCGTCCTATATGCGAAGACTGGGTTGGTGACGTGGTCTATGTGACAAGTGGCTGCCACTTAGGCACAAGGGCCAAGAAGTTTTTCCGAATCTTTTCTGACCTAACGACCCACTAGTAACCATGCTTCCTATTAAGTTTTATTCATCATGTTGCAAGAATTTTCAAGTTTGTGATGCTACCGTTATAAACCCCTTTCTTGAATTAGTGTGTAACAAGAGAATAAAACGCTTGGGGTCGAAAGTGAGTTTCCTGATGTCTGACTTCAGAGATGAGCAGTCCTGACACGATTGCCTGGAGCCCGTCGCCAGCGAGGGTAACCCAGCTCCGGCAAGGTGGCGAACCACAGCATGCAGTGCTCTTAAGCCCTATGCTGTAGAAATCGCCGTCGTGGTGCATGAGTTTGGGGAGGAGGAGAGGGTGGGGTCACAGTCACCCCGTCGAAGTAATCTGTTGTCCGCGACGTCGGGAAGGGTCGGGACTCTCCACCTTTCAACTTTTACAATACAAGAGGAGTCTTGACAAGACTAGCCGAGGTCGCGGGGTAACTTTGACGTTGAGAGAACTATTGCGCCATTGTGTGGATCAGGTAGAACGTCCCGATCATGGGCGGAGCAATTCCCTGAAAGTTACTGCTCGCCCGCTTCGTCTCTAGGCCGGTTAATGAACTCTGAGGAATTTTATCCCTCCCGTCTGACTGAAAACACGTACTAGTTAAAATTTATTAAAGCAGGAGGAAGCAGTATCAGCGTATATACGAAATTTTCTCCGAACTTAGGGGATGATTAGTTTTCTCTGACGAAANCTGAAAGTTACTGCTCGCCCGCTTCGTCTCTAGGCCGGTTAATGAACTCCGAAGAATTTTGTCCTCCCATCTGACTGAAAACACGTACTAGTTAAAATTTATTAAAGCAATAGGAAGCAGTATCAGCGTATATACGAAATTTTCTCCGAACTTAGGGGATGATTAGTTTTCTCTGACGAAAACTTCAAAAGCTTCGAGAGAAAGTAGTCCTGTTGCGAGTAAAATTTGAATAGAACAGGTTATTCTCCAGAAGAACCGAATAACGTCGTAGTGATGGTGTACACAGGCTAATAGCAGAATGCTCAAGATGGTCGGAGTGAATAAGGCTGGAAGAACAGCTATTACAATGCACCAGTTTTTCATGTTCTATTCATCTTCATATCTACTCACCTATGGAGTACTGTATCTTTACCGTATTTTCCGGTTCACGTAATAATTGATGTAAATCAAAGCGTCCATCAATATTACAGTACCTGAAAAAGGGCCTTTGAAAGCTGTTTTTATACTTGACGTCGCGCCGGACCGTCGAAATAGGTAAGATATGTATTGATTATTTACCTTTGGTCCTTACTCTAACAGGAACGAAAAATCCCAATGCGGAACAGCCAAGGCGTTTTATAGATCCACTAGCTACCGGTCGGTAGGCATCTGATACTGTCGGGCTGCGTAATTTGGTACCCGAATTTTCCGAATTTCCACGTTCGCGTGCAATTGTGTGGCAAATAGTAGTCTTGCGAGTTCGAACTACAGTTACGGTGATCACTGGGATGGTTATGGCTAGCGCTGCATCGCGATTGAGCACAAGTCCACACACAGCCAGTTCTGTCCACGGGTACCCTCATTTCCCGCAGATTCATAGTATGTAGGCAGTGTTTTGAACTTCAGGCTGTTTGTCAGTGCATTCTAGCGTTGTGTTGATTTCACGCGCATATAATCAATAACCGTTTTGTATCCGCGCAAGGGTTGTGAGGTCCGATAAGTGAAGGCGATCCTAGAACTACCCTCAGACTAGTTACATTGTGAAGGGGAACGTAGCTTGTCCATGAAGAGCAATCCTTCAATTTTCTTCAGAGCCCTAAAACTTTTCTTTAAAAACAGATTTTTCATAAAAACTCACCATCTTCGGAAAATGTGAGTGGTGTACATAACAAGTAAGATATTGTACCATACAAATGAGAACATTTTTATCGAACCGGACTCTGAGTAGATCATGAGGATCTGAATATGATCCTTCACTTATAACGGGTCGGTTTCTTCTAGCCAACATCGAGACCGACGTAGCAAGGTCAAGGAGCGGAGACAGGGAGAGGGTGAAGGCTGAGCACGTCTTCACATCACTGCAGTTAGTGCTATTGCGCAGGCCGAACCCGTTGGCTGAAATTACACCTAAGCAACTGATTCCTATAAGCATGGCACAAACCCACCCTGAGTGCGAAAAGATCTTTAGCGGAATGGGTGGGGGTGTGGTGAGTGAAATTTAATCAATATCATTCATACTCTAGCCCCTGTTATCACTGCAAATAATACGGTGAAGCCGTTTGCACAACAAGATGGGGATATACTGCTAAGCATGTTCTCGTGTGTTTCCTTTCAGGTCTAGTCTTAGGAGCGGCTCCTGGTTATACTACTTTTGGTACCCTTTCTGTAGTGCTCCATTGGTATGCTTCCTTGATGTTCCTTGTAGCTCCTTCTTAATGGCCAAATATCATTAATATGTGGGCTGAGTTCGTGAGCTAGTCGCCGACATCACCTTTTATATCTATGAAACCAATTCCATGCTAGCACATTGCCGTGACATACATCTTCGACTACGTGTATGTCACGGCAATGTGCTCGCTATGACAGTATCTGCCAGTCTGTCACGGAACTTACTTGAACCAAACAACAACAAAATTGAAGTGCTCTCGATATTCCAACAACGTAAGGGAAGTCGTAATTTTTGATTAGACTTTGCCAATCCTGAAAAATCCTACTGAAGAGGTAGAGCTTCATCATGTCTTCTTTGCTCACCGACATAGAACAACAGCTGCCCCTTCACCTTAGTTGTACAGCCGTCGTTCGAAAGTGAACATTACTGGGAAAGTTTGTTTCTTATCGATTGGATAAAGCTTTTGTGTTATCGATCGTATGCTACGACAAGTTCCGGTGAGGAGTACGGTTCAGTTCAACTACTCGGCAACTCTGGAGCAGTAATGGTTCGTGTTATTGGGCGGTTTTAACCACGACAAGGTTACGACTCGCTTGATTTTTAGGCATTCAGCTATGCAAACCTCATCAGTAACGGTAGAGCTGCACAACTTACCTGTGTAATGATCCAAGTAGGTTTTTGTCGGGTTAACTAGCCCCTAGTGTGGGCCCCATGCCTACGAAATCTCTAAAAACTTTCAGATTTTTGTGCTTTATTCCAATTCTGACTATATTGGATCTGGGACATTTATTTTGGCTACTGCACTATGCCTTTACAATTTCTACGTACTCGCAAAACGTTGGTAAGGATTTTGCTGGTTCTACTTACTGGCTCATATAAGCTCCAAAGAACACCGATCATGCTGGTGACATTGCCGTGACATACACCGAAGGGTTGGCCGTAAGTGTATGTCACGGCAATGTCATGAGAGCGCTAACTTCTACAAATGAAATTGTTAGGGTATTTAAAAATCAGTGGACAAAACCATTTCATTTTTAGAGAATTTTGTTTTTCGGCCAGGAAGTTTTAGTCTCTTCANGCAAAACGTTGGTAAGGATTTTGCTTGTTTCACGTGCTAGCTCTTATTCAGCCCCAGAGAATACCGATCATGCTGGTGACATTGCCGTGACATACACCTGAGAGTTGCGTCAGTGTATGTCACGGCAATGTCATGAGAGCGCTAACTTCTACAAATGAAATTGTTAGGGTATTTAAAGATTAGTGAACAAAATCATTTCATTTTTAGAGAATTTTGTTTTTCGGCCAGGAAGTTTTAGTCTCTTTAACCCATCGTACGCTGTGTGCTCGATAGAATGATTATTGATTTTACGCGCGTACAATCAATACGTATTTTGTCCATGACCGCTTCTTGTAGGGGATAGGGAAGGTCAGAAATGTAAATTCCCTGGTATTAAACAGACGGTTTTCTAGGGTCAACAGTATTGATGGTCGTTTTGACATGCGTCAAATGGTACGAGAAAAGGATACTCAGCTGAAGTTGATGTATGCTGCAGGCGAGTTTCTCAGACATGGCGTCTAATCGATAATCGATTGGTTGACTTATCAATTGGCTCTGATAATTATCCTCGTTGCAGAAGTGTTCACACCATTTATCGTCGGTCTTCTGGTATACTCAATGGTGATGTTCCCGGGAAAAAGTGGAAATTTCATGTGGACTTGCGCATGTTGTGTTCAAATAACGGCAGCCTTGATGTTAATTTTGGCTGAAGTTTACGAAGTATTCATAAAAGGATATTAAGCTGCCAATAAAGAAATTATTGTGTCCTTTGTGACCTGCTGAACACCCACATCTAGAAATTTGTTTGAAAGGATTTCAAAAAATGGGAAAAAATGATAATGAAAAATCCAGCAAAATGAAAGGGTTCGGGAAGAATCGAATATGGTATGAGCTGAGAACTCTTAAGGAAAGCGCGACAACCAACTAGTTCTTCTTTGATTCAGGGATTAGGATCAATGGGAAGACTTAGCTTATACCATAACCCGTCAGTCTTATAAGACATCAGAAGGATTTTGAAGTGAAAAAGGATAAAAACACACGAAATGTGGTTTTGAAAAAGCATGCGGATTGGTTTCTGAGTGGATAGCTGGGAGTTCTATTCCATCCTCTTCGACAGTGTTTCTTTGTAGGCTGGCTGAAGGTCGATTGGACCGTCACTTCGCTTCACCTTGTAAGTGTCACCTCATGGAATTCCCTTGCTGCAGGTCTTTCTGACGAGTATTTGAGTCTCCTAAACAAATAAATAAACAAACACAGTTACTCAACAACTTATTAAGTTTAGCATCTTTCTAGTTTGTTGTAATTTGCAGTTCTTTACAGTCCTT